ATTGGAATTATTCCATGTATTTTTTTCAGACCACAATGGATTAAAATTAGAAATCAATAACAAACAAAATTCTGGAAACTATACAAACACATGGAAATTAAACAGCATTCTACTTAATAACATATGGGTCCAAGAAGAAATCAAACAGGAAATCAAAAAATTTATTGAAACTAATGAAAGCAATGATACATCATACCAAAATCTATGGGATACTGCAAAAGCAGTACTAAGGGGGAAATGTATTGCATTAAATGCTTACTTCAGAAGAATGGAAAGATGGCAAGTGAACAACCTAATACTTCACCTTAAAGAACTAGAAAAACAAGAACAACTAGAAAAACAAGAACAATCCAAACCCAAAGTTAGCAGAGGGAAAGAAATCATTAAGATCAGAGCAGAACTTAATGAAATTGAAACCAAAAAAACACTACAAAAGATCAACGAATCAAAAAGTTGGTTTTTTGAAAGGATAAATAAAATTGACAAATCATTAGCATGGCTAACTAAAAAAAGAAGAGAGACAATCCAAATAACAAAAATTAGAAATGAAAAAGGCAATATTACAACTGATACATCTGAAATAAAAGGAATCATTTGAGACTACTATAAACAACTATATGCCAACAAATCTGAAAATCTGGAGGAAATGGATAAATTTCTGGACACAAACAAGCTATCAAAACTGAGCCAAGAAGATGTAGAAAATCTGAATGGACCAATAACAATAGAAGAGATTGAAGCTGTTATCAGAAATTTCCCAACAAAGAAAAGCCCAGGACTAGATGGATTCACAGCAGAATTTCACCAAACATTCAAAGAGGAATTGATACCAATTCTCTACAAACTATTCCAAAAGATTGAAGCAGAGGCAATTCTCCCAAACTCATTCTATGAAGCAAACATCACCCTGATACCAAAACCAGGTAAAGATACAACTAAAAAAGAAAACTACAGGCCGATATCCTTGATGAATATAGATAGAAAAATCCTCAATAAAATACTAGCTAACAGAATACAGCAACACATATGCAAAATTATACTCCATGATCAAGTGGGATTCATCCCAGGGATGCAAGATTGGTTCAACATATGCAAATCAATAAATGTGATACACCATATCAATAAAATCAAACACAAGGACCATATGATCATCTCTATTGATGCTGAAAAAGCATTTGATAAAATTCAACACGCATTCATGATAAAGACTCTCTATAAGTTATGTATAGATGGAAAGTATCTCAACATAATTAAAGCCAAATATGATAAACCCACCAGCAATATCATCTTGAACGGGGAAAGCTGAAAGCTTTTCCTTTAAGAACAGGAACTAAACAAGCCCACTCTCACCACTCCTATTCAACATAGTGTTGGAAGTACTAGCCAGAGCAATCAGAGAAGAGAAGGAAATAAAGGGCATCCAGATTACAAAAGATGAAATCAAACTGTCCCTCTTTGCAGATGACATGATCCTATATATCGGACAGCCTAAAGCCTCTACAAAAAAACCCTTGGAGTTGATAAATGATTTCAGCAAAGTAGCAGGATACAAAATCAACACACAAAAATCAGTAGCATTTCTATTCTCCAATAGTGAACATGCAGAAAGAGAAATCAAGAAAGCTTTCCCATTTACAATAGTCACCCAAAAAATAAAATGCTTAGGAATTGAGTTAACCAAAGATGTGAAAATCTCTATAATTAGAGTTCTCTGCTCAAAGAGTTCTCAAAGCATTGCTGAGAGAAATTAAAGAGGACACAAGAAGATGGAAAGATATCCCATGCTCTTGGATTGGAAGAATCAACATTGTGAAAATGTCCATACTACCCAAAGTGATATACAAATTCAATGCAATTCACATCAAACTTCCAATGATATTTTTCTCAGAAATAGAAAAAAACTATCCAGACATTTATATTCAGACATTTATATGGAATAACAAAAGACCACACATTGCCAAAGCAATTCTGAGCAAAAGCAATAAAGCTGGAGGCATAACACTACCAGACTTTAAACTATACTACAAAGCTATAATAACCAAAACAGTGTGGCACTGGCATAAAAACAAACACACTGATCAATGGAATAGAATAGAGAATCCAGAAATTAACCCCCACACCTACAGCCATCTGATCTTTGACAAAGGCACCAAGACTACACACTGGGTAAGAGACTGCCTCTTCAGCAAATGGTGCTGGGAGAACTGGATATCCATATGCAGGAGAATGAAACTAGACCCATACCCCTCACCATATACTAAAATCAATTTAAAATGGGTTAAAGAAGTAAATATATACCCTGAAACAATAAAACTTCTTGAAGAAAACATAGGAGAAAAACTTCAGGAAGTAGGACTGGGCACAGACTTCATGAATATGACCCCAAAAGCATGGGCAACCAAAGGAAAAATAAACCAGTGGGATTATATCAAACTAAAAAGCTTCTGCAGAGCAAAAGAAACAATTAACAGAGTTAAAAGACAACCAACAGAGTGGGAGAAAATATTTGCAAAATATACATCTGACAAAGAATTATTATTCAGAATATACAAGGAACTGAAACAACTTTATGACAAAAAAACAAGTAACCCAATTAAAAAACAGGCAAAAGAGCTAAATAGGCATTTCTCAAAGGAAGATATACGAATGGCCAAAAGACACATGAAAAAATGTTCAACATCACTCAGCATTCCGGAAATGCAAATCAAAACCAGACTGAGGTACCATGTCACCCCAGTTAGGATGGCTAACATCCAAAACACTGTGAATGATAAATGCTGGCGAGGTTGCAGAGAAAAAGGAACTCTCATACATTGTTGGTAGGACTGCAAAATGGTGCAGCCTCTCTGGAAAATGGTCTGGAGGTTCCTCAAACAATTGCAGATAGATCTACCATATAACCCAGCTATCCCACTGCTGGGAATATACCCAGAGCAATGGAAAGCATCAAGTTGAAGGTAAACCCGTTCTCCAATGTTCATCGCAGCTCTATTTACAATAGCTAAGAGTTGGAACCAGCCCAAATGTCCATCATCAGATGAGTGGATACGGAAACTGTGGTATATCTACACAATGGAATACTTACTCTGCTATAAAAAAGAATGAAATGCTGCCATTTGCAACGACATGGATGGACCTAGAGGGAATTATATTAAGTGAAACTAGTCAGGCACAGAAAGAGAAATATCACATGTTCTCACTTATTTGTGGGAGCTAAAAATAAATAAATAAATACACAAACAACCTGGGCGGGGCAGGGGGGGAGAAGACACAACAATTACAATTCCTTGAAGTTGATACAAGTGAACACAAAGGAGATTGTGGGGAGGGAGGGGGGAGAGGGTAGAGGGAGGGAGGTTTCGGTAATGGGCCACAATAATCAACCACACTGTATATTGACAAAATAAAATAAAATTAAAAAAATAAATAAATAATAAATAAATAAAATAAAACAAGATTTTATAAAAAAATTAATAAATAATTTTTTTAAAAAATTGCACCAACCGGCCGGCCCGTGGCTCACTCGGGAGAGTGCGGTGCTGATAACACCAAGGCCCCGGGTTCGGATCCCATATAGGGATGGCCGGTTCGCTCACTGGCTGAGCATGGTGCTGACAACACCAAGTCAAGGGTTAAGATCCCCTTACCTGTCATCTTTTAAAAAAAAAAAAAATTGCACCAACCATTTGAGGTTTTCTGGTTTGTTTGGTTTTTTTCTTTTTTTTTTATGAAGCGGGGGAGGAGGCGGGGGAAGGCAGGTGATTCTGGTAGACTCCGGAAAATCTGCTAAATTCTAAAAGAGCTGTAACCCTCTCTCTGTGTATTTAAATTAAACATCATCGAGGCCACATGGTTACTAGATAATAAGGGGAAGGGTGTTAAAGGAAGACCAGTCAGTGCCCAGGTATCCTTAACTATTATCTACCCTAAGCTTTTCAACATGGCAGGAAGTCCATTTCCCCACAGGGTAGCTGCTGGCACCAACGACTTTAAAAAACTAACATATTGAGACAAATTCTCTGAGTGCTTAAACTACTACTCTGGGGAGAAGTGGACAACCCATGTCAATTAAAATCCTTGCGTTACCAACCAGCTGCCAAACAAAACAAAACAAAATCCTTGTATTAAAGCTCATTACCAAACTCCTTGGTTTTATGTACGTCTATCTTCCTTACTAGATAATTAAATATCCTTGGGCCTGGCCAGTTAGCTTAGTTGGTTAAGCGTGGTGTTATAAGACCAAGGTCAAAGTTTCAGATCCCCATACTGGCCAGTTGCCAAAAAAAAAAGTAAAAGAGTCCTTGTGGAAGGACCTATTTGTATCTCCTCCCTTTACCCCTCAGTGCCCTGCATAGAGCTTACAGATATTCAGTTCTCACAAATAATAAACTCTAGTTTTAATTTAACTGAGTCCTAATTAAATTTTTTTTTTTTTTAAAGATGACCGGTAACGGGATCTTAAACCCTTGACTTGGTGATGTCAGCACCACGCTCACCCAGTGAGCTAACCAGCCATCCGTATATGGGATCCCCATGGCCTTGGTGTTATCAGCACCACACTCTCCCGAGTGAGCCATGGGCCAGCCCAGAGTCCTAATTAAATTTTAAGTGGGCAGAGGTATTCCTGAATAGTGTGGGGCTGGTGTTCTCCCTTTAAGGGATATTACTAGGGCCAGCCTGTGGCTCACTCGGGAGAGTGCGGTGCTGATAACACCAAGGCCACGGGTTCGGATCCTACATAGGGATGGCCGGTTAGCTCACTGGCTGAGCGTGGTGCTGACAACACCAAGCCAAGGGTTGAAATTCCCTTACCAGTCATCTTTTAAAAAAATAAAAATAAAAATAAATAAGGGATATTACTTCTATGCTAAACAAAATCTTAGTAGCCTGAAAGAGTTGATGCAACTTCCTAAAGTGCTTGTTTTAACTACTAAAATAATCTGCTTCAATATGATTACTAGTATTACATTCAGCTTTTTTTTCTGTATTTTATCAAACAGGCCAAAAAATTTGCAACTTACGTAGTTGCTGCTGGACTTCAGTATGGAGTGGAAGGAGGCATTTTACATACTTTTTTCAAGGTATGACTTTTCAATGACTGTGGATTTTTAAAAAGTGTTTTAAAATAAAGGTACACAATTTGAAGGTATTTCTGAGTACTTCTAGATGTAGCTAGGTCAGTATCATAGCAGAAAATGAAGGAAAGTATGGATATCAACCATAACTACCTCTGGTTCTTTCCCCTTACTTACAACTTGTATTTACCACTCTCAGAATAATAAAGAAAAGGACGGATCTCCCTTCATTCATGAGACAAATATTGATTGAGTGTCTACCATGTGCCAGGAACTGTTATAGGTACTGGGTATACAATAACATAATAAACAAGGTCATGGGTTCAGATCCCATACCGGCCAGCCACCAAAGTAAGTAAATTAATAACACAATAAAGTCTCTGTCCTAGCTTACATATTCTAGTGGGGAGGAGGAGATAAAGATAATAAATAAGCCACTAAATGTTGAGTATTTCAGATATTGAAGCATGCTATGGAAAACAACAATGCTGAGCTTTGTAGTGAGTGCCAAGGGTAGGATTGGGGGGCAGGAGTTTATGTCTTATATATGCTGGTTGAGAAAAGTCTTTCTGATGCTGTGACATTTGAGCAGAAAGTGAGAGGCCATGAAGGAGCTAGCTGATTTGCTTTCTGGGGAAAGAACATTCCAGGCAGTGCAAAGAACTGAGGCAGAAATGTGCTGGCTGTGTTTGAGGAGTAGTAAGAACAGCAATATGGCTAAATGTGGGAGGACGGTTGGCTATGGGGTCAAAGAGGGAATGGGGACTGGTCAGTTAGCTCAGGCCGGTAGAGTGTGGTGCTGATAATGCCAAGGTCCAGGGCTTGATCCCTGTATGGGCCAGCCACCAAAAAAAAAAAAAAAAAAAAAAAAAAAAAAAAGAAAAGAAAAAAAAGGGATGGGTGGGATGGAGAATCACATGGAACCCCGCCTTGTAGCCCATCCTGAATCTTAGGTTTTAAAAGGATAAACATATTTCTCTGCTGCGCTGAGGATGTACAACAGTGGGGCAAGGGCAGAAGCAAGAAGCAGACTGGTTAGGAGGTGGTGCCTAAGACCTGGGTGAAATGGTGGGGATACTGGAAGTTGTTCAGATTTTTGATGTATTTTGAAGGTAGAGTCAATGGGATTTGTTCAAAGCTTGAAGTAAGGGTGACAGACAGAAAGAAAAGAATAACTTTAAGGATTTTGGTGTAAGCAACTGGAAGTATGAGGTTGCCATTTACTGAGATGGGGAAGACTGCAGATGGAGTAGGTTGGGGGTGGTATGCAATGGGAAGTTCAGGAACTCAGTTTGGGGCTTATTAATTTTGAGATGATTGATAGCCAAGTATAGATACTGAGTAGGCTGTTGGACGTAAGAGTTCCCTTGGATGGTGTTTAAATCCATGGGACTGGACAATGTCACCTAGAGAGTGAATATGGAGAAGAAAAGAGGTCTGAGGACTGAATCTCAGGACACTCCAATAGGTAGAGGTTACAAGGAAACAGGATGGAATCAGGAAAGGAGGCTGAGAAGGGTGCACAGAAGGTAAGAGAGAAAAGAAGAAAGTTTTTAAAAAGCCAAGTGAAAAAAGTGTTTCTGAAAAGGAAGAATGACCAATTGTATCAAATATTGCAGATAATCAAGAAAGATGAGACCTGAGAATTGGCCACTGGATTTTGGGTGACTGGGTAGGACAAAAGTCTGATAGGAGCAGGTTCCAGAGAGAACAGAGGGAGATGAATTTTGCAGATAATCAAGAAAGATGAGACCTGAGAATTGGCCACTGGATTTTGGTTGACTGGGTAGGACAAAAGTCTGATAGGAGCAGGTTCCAGAGAGAACAGAGGGAGATGAATTGGAGATGGTAAGGACAGAGAAATAGTTTAAGGAATTTTGCTGTAAAGAGAATGGTAGCAGAGAAAGAAAACAGGAGTTGAAGGGAAAAGTGTACTCAAAAAAAGTCGGTTGGATTAATTTTTTAATACAAGAGAAGTGACAGCTGAAGAGGATAAGCTCAAGAAAGCTCTTTCTCATTGTCTGTTCTCAGCCACTCTTCACCTACCTGACCACTGAATGTTGGCATTTTGGGGGCTCAGCCCCAGACCCATCTATCTTCTCCCTCTATGCTCTTTCCCTGGGTTGGTCTGTTATTCCCACAACTGGTTCCAATGACTTACAACTTAGATCTCCAGCTGGGCTCTCTTTCCTAAGTTCTAGCTCTATAGGTCTAGCTGCCTACTCAGCACCTCAACTTGGATGTCTGTCACAAATCCAGACCATCTACAGTAACCACAACCCTGCTCTTTCTGTTGAAGCAGGACAGAATAGGGACAAGCCCAGGGTGGCTTCTCATGAATATTCAGGCTGGATCAGCATTAGCCACCCTCTGTGTTTTGCAGTTAATGAACCCATAATGAGATGACGACAGCTTAACCACCCCACCAATCATAACACTACACCTAGAACTTTGCAGTTTTTGAACAGAAAAAAACACAGTGCCTGTGCACTAGGACTAGACCAAGAAGGGCAAAGTTAAGGGAAAAGTGACCCCACTGCACATGACCAAAAACTTCAAAACTCAAGGATCTATGACAGGAAGTTGATGCCACCTTGTATCAGGCCTTACTTGCCCTAGATCTTCCCCCATGGCCAAATATTCCTCCCCTAAACTAGGATAGAGAACACCCCCATCCAGAACAATGTATAAACACTACCCTTAGGAATCCACTGTCTGTTCCTCCTTCTCCAAGACGCCCATGCACTCTCCTGTGTGTACTTTCACTTTGTAATAAAGCCCTACTGTTTGAATGTTTCCACTGTCTGTCCCTCTTCCTTTCCTTTCATAAGGGTGCTTGCTGCAATGCAGACCCCTCTCTGTCTTGTCAAAGATTTTTCTTCATGGTTTGACCAAGAATGTAGAACTGATGTCCTGTAATGCTGTTACTGAACCAAGGTGGGGGGATTCATTGTCCACTGAGCAAAAAAGACTAAAAAGTCCCTCGAGCCAAAATTTGCAGTGATAAAGATCAGAATTTATTTGAATGCCAGTCAAAGGAAAATGAGACAGCTAAAGAAGCTTGAAACCTCAGAATCCTGGAAGGCTTAAAATCACTGATATTTATAGGGCAGGAATTTGAGTAGGGTCTGGGGATTGGGTGGGAAATCTGATTGGTCAGCAATGAAGTTAGCACAATTATTTCTGGCATCAGGAGAAATGTCTTCCTTGGCCCTTCCAAGTCAGGGTAGATGTGCTCAAAACAGGTCTGTGGTCACCGGTAGTCTTGGAAAACATCTCAGGGTTGGCCTCAGTCTGTAATTGATGTTTATCTATAGCCATTGTCCTAAGGAACAAACATCTTGTTAGCATTAAATCATGTCTCTCCTATATTGTCTAAGGAAGTATATGTTAAACAAGTGCTGTTCTTATCCTAAAGCTAAGCAAGCATCATGATGACTTCAGGAAACTTAACTGCCACATGGTCGAGCAAATTGTCCTTTGTCATTTCCTCTTAGGCCTAGGCCCACACATGTCCCAAGGCCTGCAGAACGCATAGGCCTGTTCAGCCTGCAGAGCCCAAAAGAGCTCTTTCTTTTGGGGGTCTGCTATCAGTTTCACTCCTCCAGGACCCCGTCACAGAAAATGGAACCACTCTCCAACCAGCTGCACTATCAAAACCCAATTCCTGCCTCTTCCCCCATTGCAAAATCCCTAAGAACTAATCCTCGATCTGTCCCTTCTTTCCAACTCCGTGTCCCACTCCCCACCCTCCCCACCCTCGAGCTTGGCTAAACCATCTCTTGCCTACACAACATCATAGCTTCCATCTCCCCATTAAACTCTTATGTCCTGCTATTCCCTCCCAAGGCAACAAAAGCAAATCTAATGGTGTTACTTCACTGCTTAAAACCCTTAAGTGGTTTCCCAAAGTGTGAAATATCTTACAAGACCCAGGGGTCTGCTGTGGTCCTCAGCCCTACTTCTTCCACTCTTTATTTTATTTATTTATTTTTTTTCAAAAAGATGACCGGTAAGGGGATCTTAACCCTTGACTTGGTGTTGTCAGCACCACGCTCAGCCAGTGAGCGACCCGGCCATCTCTATGTGGGATCCGAACCCGGGGCCTTGGTGTTATCAGCACCGCACTCTCCCGAGTGAGCCATGGGCCGGCCCTTCTTCCACTCTTTAACAACAATTTAAAATAACCTAAGGCTGGTCAGTTAGCTCAGCTGGTTAGAGCACAGTGTTGTAACACCAGGTTCAAGGGTTCAGATCCCCATACTGGCCAGACACCAAAATAAATAAATAAATAAATGAAATAAAGTAATTTAACATGTGACAGTTAAACAGTACTTAGCATGTCTATATGGTTAGTGAAGTACTTAATGAAGGGAAAAAAACAAGGATTTGGACTCTGCAGATCAGGGTTCTAATCCAGGCTCAAAGCCTCATAAGTGTAACCTCCTGTGAGATATTTTATCCACTAAGCGTTTCATCTATGCGTTAATGATAATTACCCCCCACCAATGGGGGCAATTTTAAAATTTAATTTTCTTTTTGTGAGAATTACAGGCATCATGCGTATGAAAGTATTTGAAAGGTTGCACTTTATTTCTCTTAAAAGGACTGGATTCTGAATCTCATCTGGACTGTTTTACAAAACATGTCCTAGAGGAGATTACTTCATCAGATAGATAGATCTTTTGGATGTCTTGACTGTGGACCTGTATGTGAGCTGTAATAGTCATGCACATATAACTGGGGTAAATGCTTTTGCTTTTTTTTCTTTTAGATAGCTTGGTTGGGTGAGGTTCCTGCATTACCAGTTTTTGGAGATGGAACAAATGTAATTCCAGCAATTCATGTTCTTGATCTAGCAGGGTAAGCATTCTCTCAGAGGTATGGCTTTCTTAGAATTTATTAATGTGTTTGTTTGCAAGCTAACATTTATTGAGTGCTTACCTAGTGCTAAGGGCCTTGCATGTATTATTGTATTTATTCTTCTTAAAAACCCTATGCAGAAGGTACTATCATCTCCATTTTGCATCTGATGAAACAGTGCCCACCTTCTAAAAGCTCCACATTACCAATGTCAAGTTTAGGTTCATCTCTTAGGAACTTTGTCAGCAGAATAGCAATGCCCTCCAATTCTGTAAAAGAAAGAACTTGATATGTGCATTCTGGGGACATAGTTTCTTATTTCTTTGTCTCAGATGAAATTGATATGTCCAGCCCACCAGTTTTAAATTTTAGAAATCAGATGGCAAACTCTAAATGCTTTTTTTTTTTGACAATTGTAGGTAAAGTTGACACGTATTTCGTACTCACAGAGCATCTCGACCCTGTGTCCAGACAGGTCTGGAGATCCTCCTCCTTTGAAGACAGTGACTTAAGCACTAGGTCAATGAGCAGCTCACTTTGTTTATGGTGCATCAGCTCTATGTTTCAGGTTCCAGGGGCTTCATTCTATCACTCCTGCTGCTGCTCATCCCCCAGAAGGGAGCAGTTTCTACAGTTCTCTGAGGTTCTGGATTCCAGATTCCCTCATCCACTGGCCACTAGTAAATTATCCAGATTCCCTTATCCACTGGCTGCTAGTGAGTTAGTCACCATCCCACATGTATTTACAGATTTACTGGGAAACCAGTGAAGCTTAAACTTCAGGGCCACTCCCCTGCATGGATCCCTTCCAAGGTCCTGAACTTAATTTGTATTATTTTTCTTAAAGAAGGATCCCCTAAACTGTATAAGCTTCAGACTACACAAAACCTAGACCTGCTTCAGCCAACATTAAGCCTGGGCTTGGAGGGGCCTAAATGTGCTCTTTTCTGCAGAGATTTTATGCTATTACATTACCAGGTTTTAAAGATGTGAGTCTCAAGGTCAAAGGTTTGGTTCCCTGCACTGGCCAGCCACAGAAAAAAAATAAAATAAAAATAAAGATGTGAAGAGTTTTTTGTTTGTTTGTTTGTTTGTTTTGTTTTGTTTTGGGGTTTTTTGGCAGCTGGCCGGTACAGACAACCAAATCCTTGACCTTGGTGTTACAAGGCTACACTCTAACCACCTGAGTTAACCGGCCAGCCTTGAAAGGGTCTTTTACATTATTAAAAAACATACCTAACACTAGTTCTTAACATCTGTCAAAAGACAAGTTTACAACAAATTTAGTTTAAATATTTCAATTGGCTTTATTGTGACTCTAGAATCAGGCAACACTTCATTCCATAAAATAGAACAAGTGTTCCAGTGAGTCAAGCAGAAGAGGTTGGCTTTATAGTCGGGAAAAGGACTGAAGAAAGCAGAAGAAACAAACAAAAAGCGGATTGGCCATTTCAAAGTGACTTTTCTTGTAAGGTGGGGACAGGGAGACAGAACAATACAAAGACAACTGATTGATTAACATCAGGTTACTTCAGAATAAGGATTAGAGGATAGGGCACTTTATTATCATGCCCATTAAATCTGGCCTGCTTGGGAAATCAGAGTCTTGGTGACATGGAACCTCGGCATAAGCGACTGCCTTCTGATTTTTAGTATGGTCTGCTGGGGCCTAGTGCAGAAGCCAGTTCAAAGCAATGGCCTCCCAATATTTTTATTTAATACATCTTACTTCCAAACAGATACATTATGAAGTGAAATTATTCTCATTTCAGAAGGACACAGGACCCCTTTAAGTAGCATTTTTTTCTGGAGGTTTCTTTGAAGATTGCCCAATATTTAACAGACAAAGAAGCTAAAAGCTAAAGCATTTTGAGAAAATATGTAATAAATGTGAAGTGGACATTTTTTTTTCTTATATTTGTTTTATATATAATGTACAGGGTTTTTAGATGTACTTAGTGGGAGACATAGGGAAAAGTACATTTGTCTACTCCATCTTCCTGGAACAATTTAATTTTTCGGTTGAAAATTTAATTCATAATGCATAATTTAATCATATAAATTTCATCCAACAATATATACCAATATTGTTACTGACAATATGATGACAACAGCAAGATTCCTTTGTTGTTCTTTTTGTCTACATTCCATCTTAATGTTGCTACACAAAAATCCATATGGTGAACATTTAAACTTTTAAGTTAATTTATATCATTAAGTACCATAAAGCAGACTGTTAAACAATACTATGGAATTTCTAGAGTTGAAAAGGCCAGAGACCATGTAACTTGAAGCAGAATGGGGGCTAGAAAACATACTGGTCTTTCAAATGAAGTGGACATTTAGAAGTGTGCATTTATGGGCCGGCCCGTGGCTCACTCGGGAGAGTGCGGTGCTGATAACACCAAGGCCCCGGGTTCGGATCCCACATAGGGATGGCCGGTTCGCTCACTGGCTGAGCGTGGTGCTGACGACACCAAGTCAAGGGTTAAGATCCCCTTACCGGTCATCTTTTAAAAAAAAAAAAAAAGAAGTGTGCATTTATTTTATTTTCATTTTAATGAAAAGGAAGCTAAAATGGAGGTAGAAACGACAGGCCATTGGATTGACTTCTATTCACTATTGTTTCTGTCTGGAATTCTTTAATATGCATTCCAGTTCCTACTCTGCCTCTCACCAGCTGTGTCTGATCTTCCCATTTGTAAGATGGGGTAGTAATAGTATCTATGTAATAGGATTGTTGTGAGGATTCAATGGAACAACACCTGTAAGCCCTTAGCACAGTCCTAGCAAGGACTGAGCTAAGCCCTCAGAAATGTTGGCAATCATTAATTCAGAACAGGAAATCTGGGGGTCAGTCACTGTCTTGCTGTGTGACTTCCTTAAGAGAGCCACAGCTTCTCTAAATCTGTGTTACTTTGTAAAACACCTACCCCAAAACACTGTTGTGAGACTCAGATGAGCCAATGGATGGGCGGGGGGCTTTGTAGACTGGAAGTCCTGTCGGGGTCAAGTCCAATTGTTGGGAGGCAGTGCACTGGAAAGAAGATAGGATCCAGAGCCAGATGGATCTGACTTCAGATGCTGGCTCTTCTACATTTCCAGTAGCTCTTCAGCCTGAGAAATATCATTTAGCTCTTTAACACCTTCCGCATCTACAGAGTGCAAATAATAATCCCAACCCTGACCTTGTTGGAAATTGTGAGATAATTTATTAAAGCAACGAATGCTGTGCCTGGCTCACAGGAGAGGTGTTCAGTAAATTCTAGTTTACTACGATCTCTTTTGCTTTTTCCTTCTGACAATTATTTTACCTGCTGGTCTGCAGAGTGATACAAAACATAATAGACCACGTTCCAAAGCTTCACTACCTGGTTGCTGTGGACGAGTCTGTTCAGACCCTGGAAGACATAGTCAAGGTACAGTAGTTTCATCCCATACTTGGATGGCATATCTTATATAGTTTTACCCACTAAAGAGTAGTTATAGAATCAGTTGTGCTAACAAGTCTGGGGGACTCCTAAAATAGAATATCCTTAAAACTTAAGCTCACTATTTGCACATGTGGTATACGCTTTGGAAAATAACTACCAAATGACCTTTCTCCAGTATATGCATTCATATACAAGAATTTTTCTTTCAGAAACAAGAAACATCATTGTAGGGCTTGATTTGAGAGGATGGGATCATCACACCTCAGACACACACAAATGACACACCAGAATACAAAAATATGCCTGCAGACACTTATCCCAAACTACTGATACGGTCAGGTTCACCAAACCTACTGGCTACTTCCAGGAGCTCTAGGTGTGGGAGGGCTACCTCTGCAGTCTACACTGCTCTGGCTAAAGCGGCCACTTTGTAGCCCAGCTAGTGCTGCTAGTACAGCCTTCTCCTGCCCTTACCCTGGCCACAGCTTACTCATCTTTAAGATTCAGCTCAGGGGCAGGCCCATGGCTCACTTGGGAGAGCGTGGTGCTGATAACACCAGGGCCAGGGGTTTGGATCCCTATATAGGGATGGCTGGTTGGCTTGCTTGGGAGAGCATGGTGCTGACAACACCAAGTCAAGGGTTAAGATCCCCTTACTGGTCATCTTTTTTAAAAAGATTCAGCTCAGATATCTTCCTCTGCACCCTCCCTGTCTCCTTCCCACCTCCTGCATAGGCCAGATGCCTCTTTTCCATACTCCTAAAATGTCTTAATCCATTTGGGCTGCTTTAACAAAATACCATAAACTAGGTGGCTTATAAACAACAGAAATATATTTCTTATAGTTCTGGAGGCTTAGAAGTCCAAGATCAAGGCAGATTTGGTGTCTGGTGAGGGCTTGTTTTCTGGTTTCATAGAATTTTCTCTCTTGATGTGTCCTCATATGGTGGAAGGGGCAAAGGAGCTCTCTGGGGCTCTTATTTATTTTGTGTGCATATACATGTGCATGTGCATGTGTTTGCTGGCCAGTACAGGGATTAAACCCTGAACCTTGGTGTTATCAGCACCACACCCTAACCAACTGAGCTAATCAGCCAGTTCTGGGGCTTCTCTTATTAGGGCACTAATCCCATTCATGCAAAGCCCTCATGACCTAATCATTTCCCAAACGGCCCACCTCCAAATACCATCACCTTGGGGATGAGGCTCTCAACATATGAATTTGGGAGGGACACAAACATTCAGACAGAATTACAGCAAATTCAGTTATTGATCTAATTGACTTTTATCCACAATTCGTGAATCAGGGCAGCCTCCATTATACATAATAGAATAAGAGCTCCCACTCGGTAATAGCAAAACAGTGGGTTTTGTAAGGTGGGAACAAGGAACAACAATAGAAGAAAAAAAAATACTAATTAAAAACTGATTGGGTAACATCAGGTTACTTTTTTGTAGAGTTAAAGAGGGGACTTCCTTATTACACTGACTCAGGTAGACTGGAATGTCCTGCTTTCAGAAAAAAAAAACTGATGTGTTTTGGAATCTGTCTGTTTCCTTAAAGTTTCAGTTTGATTATGTGGCATTTAGGATGAGTAACTCCACCGTGGTTTGGTCTGGTCTGTTGGGGCATAGTGCAGGAGCATGGTCCAAAACAATGGCCTCTCATAGTTTTTATTTAACAAGACTGTATAGCACAGAATAGGGACCAAAGGAAGCAACCCCCTGAAAGTTCTTGGAAAAATCACCTGATAAACACAGATTAACATGAAGAAAAGGTATAACAAATTTTATTTGATCATAGTTTTATGTGACACAGTAGCCTTCAGAATATAGGCCCAAAGGTATATGGAAAGTTGTCCATATTTATACTTAGGTTCTACAAAGCAAGCATAGCCATGTAGAAATGTGATTAGACAGGGAAAGTATGATCTAATGCTCATAGAATTAGTGGGTAAACCCAGCAAGGCCTGTCTGTTCAGATTCTTCTAGGCCTCTCTGTGTAGCATTCATTTCTCCAGGGTGTGAGGCCAGACCCTTTCTGGAACAGGGGTCTTATGACCTACAGTCAGACAAGATAGATCAAGGAATTTCCTTATGGTCAGCTCCAAGACAGAGAGACAGGGGGAAGATATATCTATGACCCACCTTGAGGAAGAGGAAATGTGGTTTCTATATGGCTTGCCTCAGGGGAGAATGAGGCTGAGAGACCAGAGGGCAGAAGGTCAGAGGGAAACTTTGCTTTTGAGGCTGCTTCTGAGGCATTCACTTTGGGGTATGACTTTCTAGGCCCCAACAACAGAATTCCTTTTGCTGAGTGGCAAACATTCCACATGATAATTATCTGTGTACAGGTCTGTCTCCCTTTTTAAACTGGGAGCTCCTTGAGGCCAGAGCCGGGCCTTACTCATCTCTATCTCCAGTACCTGGTACACATTGATGGTGTTAAATATTTCTGGAACAAATAAGCAAATGAATACACTCACCACTGTAGGGGCCAGGGCAAAAACTTCCTCTTCACCCCTGAAGGCTCACTAAAATAAACTGAGAAACACAGATTAATGTGAAGAAAAGGCATAGTAAATTTCATCTTAACATGCTAGGGAGGGGCAATGCAGGAGAATGGCAGGAGAGTGATTACCCAATAACATGGTGGGGCAAAGAAGCTTGCACACTATTTATTCATAGGAGAGGGGGAGGTGGGAAGGGAGACCATTCTTCTGAAGGACAGTAAATGATCAATGGAAGTGGAATGAGCCTGGGAGATATTATTTTGTGCAAAGTTCTGTCCAGGTGTGGTGAAATCCCAGTCTCTTTAGTCCCTCTGGGTTGGTTCCCTCACCCCCACCTCCCAACCCCTCTGCGGGTGACCATCCTGTACAGGGATCAAACCCTAGACCTTGGTGTTATCTAACCAACTGAGCCAACCATGCTCTAACCAACTAAGCCAACCAGCCTAGGGGTGTTCTTTACCAATTATTTGAGATTCCTAGGAAGGGGATCTTAAGATAACTGCATTTCTTTTGGGAAGAAGATTTCTTAGATAAGGAAATTACAGAAAAAGTTCCTCTCTGCTCCTGGGGGAAGGGAAACAAGCCAAGGTTAGAGAGACCTTGATTCTGAGGCTTATTTCTGTGACCTTTTAATTTTCTAAGCACTCAATGTGCCAAAGTGCCATATTTAAGGTAATAGTTTTAAGGTAATAGTTTTCTGCACCTCTATTTTGCAAATACTGCACATTTTTATTCAGTTATGTTCACACTTATTTGAGGAGTTTTATATAAAACCTTACAGATAAACTAAATAATATTTCTATTTTCTCCTAACAGTGCATCAGTAAAAATACTGGCCCTGGGAAAGTCCAGAAATTACCCAAAGAAAATGCTTTCCTAACCAAGGACTTAACAGTTAGTATATAAAAGGTTCTTTTTCTTTCTCTTTTTAAAATCTGTTTTCCTACTGTAAAAGAAAAAAAATACAACAAATTTGGTTGAAGATCTCAATTGGCTTTATTGCAATTCTAGAATCCAACAACATGTTATTTCATATTGTGAGAAATGCCCTCACCTGTCCAAGGCCAAAGGATGGACGCAGAAACAAGAGGTACAGCAAAGCAAGACTTTAATTATGGCCTTGCAAGTTTTGGGTGTCTGACAGGCAGGCACACGGAAAGGGCTGTAGCAAGCAGTTTATTCCCTAGTGTGCAAGTCCCTGCCCCTGCCTCCTCATTGGTTGGGGTGCACAATTTTCCCAGGTGATGTCCAAGATTACCCCAATTTATTACCCCTCTGTAAGAAATTTCTTTGTCTGAGGGCTCAAGACAAGCCCACGATAAAGGGCCATCAAAACCTTGTGAAAGGAGAAACATTAGGAAATGGAGAGAACAATAAAGGGCTATTAACTCATTACCATCTCAAGGAGAACTTTATCCATTTGAAGTAAACAGTTAAGGGCTGGTAACTCATTACCATCTCAAGGAGAACTTTATCTATTCAGTAACCCCCAGGAATGGGCTAGACCAGTCAGACAACTTTTGGGCTGGGCCTGAATTATTTCTGAAAATGAATCATTTAGATTTTTTTTTACACTATGTTATTGCAAATTCTAGAATCAGGCAATACCTTATTCCATAAAATAGAAAAAATGTTCCAGTGAGCCAAGAAGAGGAAGTTGGTTTTATAGACAGGAAAAGGCTAAAGAAGACAGAAACAAAGAATAAAAAGCAGACTGGTCATTTCAAAGTTACTTTCCTGGTTAGGTGGGGACAGGAAGACAGAACAATAGAAAAATAATATCAGGTTACTTCAGGCTCATTATCATACCTATTGAAGATTTAAACTTGCCTTTAAGGGAAATTGGGTGTTCTTTCTCCTGACTTCTTGAAAGGTCAGACCCAGCCTAAGTGGCATGGAACTTAAGAAGGGTGACTCCATTTTGATTTTTAGTCTGGACTTTTGGGATCTAGTACAAGAACATTGAAAGAATGACAGGACCTGAGCTGACAGTTCACCGGAGAAGTTCCGCTTTATTCAGGGGAGAAGCATAAATTTATATAGAGCCGGGTTCCGGGAGAGGGTGGTTAGTACACGGGGCGGTAGTTGATTGGCCGGGGGCGGGTAATGATTTCTGATAGGCTGCACCTTGGCGCCGGTGAGATTGTTAGGACCTGGAAAAGAAAAGCGCCATGTTTTAGGGAGTGCCTCCTTTGGGGTCTTCTATGGGGCCTTACATTCCTCCCTTTTTCCTCTATTGGGGATAAGGTCGTTGAGGTCTCCGAACTACTTCCTGCTGGAGGGGGACGTCGTGGGTGGAGGAAACAGGGAGGAGAAAGAAACCCCCATTATACCCCAAAGGAGAGTGGTGAACAGGGTGATTTCAAGGGGAGGGAAATCCATGAAAGTTCCTTGGAGCCATAGGTCAGCCATCTGCTGTGTCCAATGGGAGTAAGAGGTTGTGGGGAAGATCATCCATGCATCTTCAGCTAGAGCTATCAGGAACAAGTGCCACCGGTGACTTAGATCCATTTCGGCAAGATGTCAGGCGTTCTATTGAGGAGCAGGAAGGGTCTTCCGTGGCCAGAAGCTGGTAATGTCTAAGTAAAGGCTGGTTAAAAGCTTGGTTAGAAGTTTTACTTATTTGAATAATGCAGGGTAGATAATAGTTAGAGGTCCTATGACAGGCCATATCCAGGTTAGGAGAGGATTGTGGGAAAAGGAAGAAAAGGGGTTAGAGCTGGGCATGGCCCGGAGGCTAGAGGCCAGATCAGTGAGTTTGATGACTTTAGTTTTGACTAAGCCTGATTCATTGAATAACAACATTCTTCCCTGAGGAAGATGCATGTGCCTCCCTTCTCTGCGGTAAGAAGGTCTAAAGCTCGGTGGCTTTGGAGAGTTACCTTGGCTAGGGAGGTGACCTGTTTTTGTAGGGATGAAAGGGACTCAGCGGTAGAGGTCAAGGCTTGTTCAAGTTTAGTATTGATATTTTCAACTGCCCATAAAGTATGCCCTAGGGCCCCTCCTGACCATCCAAATAATAAAGAAAGTAGAAAGAGGTTTAGGGAGAGGATTCATCCTCATGTATGGGTGAGAGGATTGGAAATCGGGATAGAGGAAGTTTAAGGGGGTTTGTGGGATGAGGAGTTCAGAAATAGCTTTCTTGAGAGGGTTCGCGCTGAACTTCAGGCTCAC